GAGAGAGAGAGAGAGAGAGAGAGAGAGAATAAGGAGATGATGAATGTAAACTCAGAGCTGGTTCCCTCGGTGAGATGCTTAGGGCTACAGAAGTATTCATGGTGTTTGTTACGTAAGCTACAAGGTGGGCACACGAGTGGCTTAATGAGTATGCATTTATTAGGTATCTTTTGTGTGATTCTGATACATTGAAAGAAAAAATTCTCTAATAGGTTCACAGACTATTCCGACAGAATCTTGGACAATGACACTGGATTGATTGGTCAGAAGGTCCTTCCCTTCCACAGCGAGGCTGTGCTCTTGGGCGGGGCATCGACAGAGTAGGTGTCACTGGTCCTCAGAGCAGGGCTGACTCTGCCTCCCCCCAGAGCTCCGCTGAGGCCGGTTCACCCACAGGACGGCACCGAGCATGCTCAGGAGCAGGGGCACCTTCAGGAAGACCAGGAGCAGGAAGTGGACAGTGCTGAACAGGGACCTGTGGGGGACACGGTGGTGGGGATGCACAGTGAGCCACATCGTCACCACCCCCACCCCCCCATCTAGAGGAGAATCCATCATGTGTCAAAGTCCTGGGATGCGGGCCCCTTACCAAGGGTGTTGGCTGGCATCAGGCGTCTCCTGGCTGGTCACACTGGGCCCGGTGGTCGCTGGCAGGGAGGAGGGAGGGTCCAGGGTGCTTGGAGGACCCAGGGTGCTTGGAGGGTCCAGGGTGCTTGGAGGACCCAGGGTGCTTGGAGGGTCCAGGGTGCTTGGAGGGCCCAGGGTACTTGGAGGGTCCAGGGTGCGTGGAGGACCCAGGGTGCTTATAGATCCCAAGGTGCTTGGAGGACCAAGGGTTCTTGGAGGACCCAGCGTGCTTGTAGATCCCAAGGTGCTTGGAGGACCCAGGGTGCTTGTGACAATCTTCAGGGTGGGGGCTGAGGAAGAAGCACATGTCAGGCCCTGGGTCTTTCACTCTGTCAGCTGTGTGGCTCTGACACAAGGTCAAGGTCACTCAGGCCATCCCCTCCATGGCCACAGGCAGGCCAGACCTGGGCCCCCTCTCTGGGCCCCTCACCAGGAACTCCGTGGCCTAGTGGGCACCTTCGGAAGCAGAGTCATCCTGCTCAGCAGAGGATCTGACTGTGTGGGAAGAGCACCTGCCTCCGGCCACACCCCCACCACAGCCACCCCTTCTCCCCCTTGTCCCGCCAGCAGGGGTGGGGTGACACTTATTCTGTAGCCTTGACTAGAGTGATGGGTGGCCAGGGCCCTCAGGCTGGAGTGCTTGGAGTGAGACCCAGGAAACAGACGTGCCTCAGGGTCTGCACTGGAGGGCGGGACCCGCAGTCCCTTAGACAAGCCGTGGTCTGAATGCTCAAGTCTCCAAAATTCCTTTGTTGAAAGCCCCATGCCCAGTGGGTGGTATTAGGAGGCCAGGCATATGGAGGTGGTCAGGGCATGAGGGTGGAGCCCTCATCCATGGGATTAGTGCCCCGATGAGGGAGGCCCCTCACCCTCAAGGATAAAACAAAAGTCCACACTCAGAGGAGGGCCTCCCCCACATGCCGGCCTCCTGATCTCGGGCTTCCAGCTGTGTCTAAGCTACCAGCCCCCACACTGTCAGTCAGGCCTTTGGACCATTGGGCAGTCCTCTCTGGGGGAACAAATGAGCAGAAAGAAAGATCTAGAGCAGGGGTGGTGACCTTTTCCTGCCATGGACAATTTGGATATATATAATATCATTCGAAGGCCCACAAAATCATCAACTTAAACATTAGCCTGTTCTGTTTGGCCAAGCGTTTCATTCACTCACCCCTAATGCCTTGGCAGGGCCAGACCCAATGATTTCCTGGGCCTTATACAGCCCTCGGGCCGGACGTTCCCCACCCCTGATCTAGAGAGACACACACCAGGTGGACCCCATAGACCATGGCCTGACACAAAGGCACGGGGACAAACCCCTCCTCTTCCCTCAGCCAGAGGTTCTGGGATTTCCAGTTTCTCCCTCTTAAATAGCAAGACACAAAGGCCAGTGAGGGAACATCCCATGTGAGAGGGAGAAACCCAGAACTACAAGGAGGAAGTGAGGAGCCAGAGCCACCGTCAGCAGGAAGGTGATGTTCACTGCGCTCTCAGGCAACAAGCACAGCGACCTGTGCAGAGAATTGTGCAGAGAGCAGGGGAGAAGCCGGGGCCATAGCACTTGAGAGGCCATGATCACCTTTCCTCTCCTACCTGAGGGAGGTATTTTCAGGGGCTCCTCTGGGTTCCCCCCTCTGGCTACAAGGCATCAGAGAAAAACGGGGAGGGACAGGGTCAGCCTGAAGGGAAGGGTGGCCCCCAGAACATCACAGCGGACCCACACAGGGACCTGGGGCTCCTATGGGCCTGTCTCATGGCTGCTGCAGGTGTCTCAGGAGCCATCCAGGCCTGAAGGGGTCTGGAACAGACTCTGTGTGTGTGTGTGTGTGTGTGTGTGTGTGTGTGTGTGTGTGCAGGGCACACCTGTGCCCAGATAACACCCACACACGCTGTGTCCTGATCACTGACCCCCCACTTCACCCAGCTCTTCAATTCCATGTCTGTCCTGACCAGCGGGTGACCAGGTACAGGTCAGGCAGCCTGGAGCTGGGGCGAGGGGAGGGTGTGTGTGACTCACCTGGGGACACAGACACCTCAACCGGGAAGGTGAGGTCTATCAGTCCTTCTGTCCATGGTCTATGGATCCCACACCTGTATGTGCCTTCATCGCTCTCTGTGAGGCTCTCCAAGGTCACTGTGAAGGTGAGGTTTGCTGGATGGTCCCTGATGGACACACGGCCGCGCCTCACTTCTCTCTCTGACTTTGTGGTCTCCACAATCTTCGTCCTCAGCGATGCCAAACATGGGCTTTTACACCAGTATTTGTTATTTTCCTTGAATTCTTTCTCGTACCGACACTGCACGCTCAGCGATCCCCCCGCGATACCTGTCATGCGCCTGAGGCCACTCAGAGACAAATAGCCTGGAAGACAGAGCCCGTCCCAGGTTCTTACCAGATGGGCCAGGGGCAGGGGCGCCTTGGGGTGCAGGTCCCTCAAGAGCCCTCAGGGTCTGGAGGCCATGCCTTTCTTCAGACCAGGTGAGGGGACCAGGGGTGATAGCTCCCTCCTCTTAGTGGTGACACAGG